TCTCTCTCTCTCTCTCTCTCTCTCTCTCTCTCTCTCTCTCTCTCCCCCCTCCCCTCTGCTTGCTTGCTTCATATTGCCTGGCCATGCGCAGCTCATGCAGAGATATCTAGCACTCTTTATCTTGACGAACTTTGACGGATATTTAACAATTGACAGTTGAGCCTACTGCCAAACCGGTGCGTGCTTGTAGATCTAGCATCCTTGGGAAGTATGGCCACCACAGCCTCTGTTCTGCTGTCCCACAAATACACAATTTGTGTATAAATGGGGTACAGGGTGCATGCAGGTTCATGGAGTGGTGCATGAATTTCCTGCTGTTGCTGTAGTCCGGTAGAGCTTTCGGCGCCGCATGGTGTTGTGTGCGAGGTGTTCGACTCCTTGCAGTTCTGCAACTTGAACTGCATACCAGTCTGTTCAAGTACAACTGTGTCTGCCGTGTATGCATTTGACAGCGCGAAACCTCTTATGTCATGTCTGCTAGAAAGAAACTCAAGCAAACTGTATACGTAATGATGGTTGATCGTGCATGAGGTCTTGGACGCCAAACCTTGTGCGTTATCTCCGCAGGCCGCGACAACCTCTCCACCAGGTCTTGGGACGGAACCATAGATTTCAATAGTCAATGCTGGCAATAGATACAAACTGCAGGCGGTACTAATCTCCATGAGTTCCAGAAACTATATGCTTCTGTCTATATTATCTATACAGATCACAGCCATAACGGTGTCAAATGAACGAACGTGGGTTTCAACCGCACGATATGCACAGACTTAACCGACAGCAGGGATGCTGCTCACTGTGTTCTGTAACTTACAATATAATATGCACATCAGCGAAACTGTTCAGATTTGAACTATTACGCTGATTTGTGCAGTTACTACCGCCATAATAACATCAATGGCAGGGTAAACCTGCAATAGGGCTGCAGGTATACGATTTTTCGAGGGCTTGACCATTTCAACAACCCCTTCTGTGTGACCTGTGCTTTGACAACGACGCCATCGTTTAGTTGAAACACTGTGACTTATTTCAAGTTTAGTATGCCAGTTGTCAAGGTGTCAGTAATGTCTTAGCCCTTTAAACCACCACTCCTCCTGAGCGTTTATTAGAGAGTGCTGGCTTCCAGATGAGCTTATACCCGTCACGCCAACAACCAGCCATTTGCTGGATGTATCTGCAGCATCGTCGTATTCAGCTGCAGCGGTGGTCTCAGCCAGTGGAGTCATCATATCTGCTTTTCCACCTGATCTAACAACCTGTAACCTTCTGCAAGTTTGACCTGTGCAGAACTTCACACGTTTTTCGACGTTGAGCCGGCAACAGGCTGGCGAATGGTATGAGCTGCGGCAATCTGTTGCCATTCTTACGTCTATGTATGCCGTGCACGACCTGCCTGAGCTGTTCTGATCGCACACATTGTGCTGAGGCGAATGGCTGGTATATACATGAGCTGAATGCATCGATGTGAAATGTAATATCGACCGCAGGATTTAATGTTCTCAAGGCACGAGTGGCAGGTAAAATGTGTGTTTTTGTTCCGGTCATACCTCGCTGTTGAGGCCATGCCTATTGCACCCGCACAGGATGTTTCTGATACCATCGCGGATGACTCTAAATTGTGGTTCCAACCGTACAGGATGTTTCTTTTATTGCACAGGTTCTTAACTTCTTACTGTTGGTTCATCACAGCCTGTGTTAATTCACGACCTGTCAAGGATTGCACCCTCCACGGGAATCGCAATAGTATGCACTATTGTTCAGTCTGCGGGAGTCTGTGGACGAAAACCTTGGCCAATTTATAAACAGTATGTGCTTTCTCACTCTCTGCACATGTTCTGCACCAGAAGGTTGTTACTGGCAAGCAACACTTTTTGTAGTTTTGGCATGTAATTGCATGCACGGGGGTTCGAGGGGGAGCTTGGGAGTGTGGCCGTTTCTGAGTTGAGGGGCATGCTCGCTCATGCCTGGCTTATTGGTCAGGGCAATGCAGATGCCAACTCCTTTTCCATTCTCTCTTCTGGTTCTACTGTCTGGATTTGCCGATGTCACTGGCGTACCAGATAAAGAGCTGATGTTCCTTTTATTTCAGCTGGGCATCGAGACCTACTCTCATTTTGGGACTCCATAATCTTACCCTCATTTGAACAGCTGACGTCTTGTCCATCATTCTCCTGTCAGGCCATGACAGTGTTCCACTCATTTTGATCATTTCCTCATTGTGATTTTGATACCGACCGATGGCCACAATCTTTTTTCTAGTCTTCTGAGACACGAGGTTTGTGACGGTACTAGTAGCAAAAGTGAGGCGGCGAGGGCAAGGAACCCTCAAGTCTGTTCAGCAGGACTAGAGGCCTAGCTTAGAGGGACTGACAATATATAGGAGTTATGCGCTTGGGTGCTACCACCAATATTGTATCCATTCGATGCAGCGATGAGCTGTGCCATCGTGGTGAGCATCGTGGTTCTTTTGTCTCTTTCTTTCTGTAGACCTTGTACCGAATAAACCATGCAGCGGGCTTGGCTGCATCGTTTTCTTTAGCAGCCTTACATTTAGGGGAAATGGATAATGCTTCAGAACAGGGATTAACAATTTAACATCCTGTTCTTGCGACTGTTCTCTTTCTGTATTAGCCTGTGTGGAACAAGCCACGCAGTGGGATTCAGTGTGACATTTTGCTTAGCGTCATTACATGTGTAGGGTACGAAGACACGAGAATTGCAAAAGACTTTGAAAGAAGGATTAAAGGTCTTCTCTTTAAGTCAGTTTCTTCTTGTGTTTTGGCGTGAACCTAAAGAAAGGCAAACCCTATGTCCTCGACAGAAGACAAACACCTTTGTCCTTAACGGGAGACAAAAGCTTTTGTCCTTGTGGAAGAAAACACCTTTGTTCATATCGAAGGCAATACAATGCCGTTCAACTTACCGGAAGTAGCATCTTTCTTTTTATTATGACGTTGAGGGCGAACGTGTGTGAAGTGTGACAAATAATCACACACCCTGCGTGGAAGAGAACAATAAATAAATGTATCGAGTTTTCAATAAGCTATCACCCACCCAACTTGGGTGGAGGAATAGCTGGCATCAACATTAGGAGGGGTGGAGTGTAGCAGGACTCACCAATAGGTCAACAATTAACACTGAGCCAGTTCAATTCGGGGGCGCCATTGTTTTGCCTACTGTCATATGGTAGTACCATTGTTCTGCTTACTTTCATTCGCAGGCGCGCGCGCGCGCGCGCGTGTGTGTGTGTGTGTGTGTGTGTGTGTGTGTGTGTGTGTGTGTGTGTGTGTGTGTGTGTGTGTGTGTGCTATCATATTCACTATACACTCAAAAAAGCATGACTGTGCCAGACTGCTTCGTCGAACTTTCACCGACTCATCTGGAGGTTGAATGCTGACAGTCTGCCCAGGATGCATTTGACTGATGGATAAGGACCCACCACAGCGCCCAGAGTTAGTGATACCCCTGAGAAACGTGGTGGACGTTACTCACACCGATCCCTACAATCCTAGCAGACTGTTGGTCCAAACCCCTGACAAGAACAGCAATTAGTCTGAGAAACTGTGTGTGTGCACGTGCTAGTGTAGGTCTGGCACAGCTTTGGGGGGGAGGAGTTGCAGTAGGTAGTGCTTGCCATCGTGTTTCCGTACGTTACAACAGGCTAGTATTCCTGTGGATGCATTTCTCTTTCCAAGAATTCCCTGGCTGCTGCTTGTTTTCAGAAGGCAGGCCTCATATATGTATCGCTCTGCGCACCCGAATCCTGATGATGGCATGCTGATTTGTCTGATGTCCGTGCACCAATCCTGCTGTTGCTGGAACCATATCGTTCCAAGTGTCTGAAAGTCCAGGACCGAACCTGATCTTATGACTTTATTATTGTCCTAATTTCAAGTATGGATTGAACCTTCAAGCTCTGGCTTCAGATAAGCAACACTTGACTCCAACATTTCAGAATGGCTCATGGCATCAACAACGGGAAGAGGCTTTCACATCTGTCTTCTGTCTTCTCATTCAACGATTCAGTGGAGTTTGTGACCTGACCGACTTATTTTCTGTATAAACCCTTTACGCCTACGCCATCAGAACCTCTTATGCATCCAACCCTTCCCTATCAGGAGCCTTGCTCTCTGTTCAGTTGAAGGCTGTGGAGAGGGCTCAGCTTTGCGAACTCGATCATGCCAGTCATCGTCATTGTCATGCAGACAGGTGTTGTTGTGAAGCTCCTCTTTCTCACAGAATTGTGGGGCTCGACCGATGGCTACCTAAAAATTTTCTCTCTCGCGGAGGGTTTTTGGAGGTGTCCAATCATCCCCAGACCTTGTATGGCCTCCGGGAATACCATGAAATATGTTTGAGAAATTGAGAAACAAAAATGCTAATAGGTATTAGCGTTTTGATTCGTTAGAAGCATTTTTCTGTGTCGCACAGTGTGCCTATCGTTGGCATCATAAAATGATGCAACATATTAGAAACAGCAGGCAGGGCCTTATGTAACTGCCGATGCATCAATATGCCCTATTTACTGTGGCCTGTGAGCAGACCTGATGATTACAGGCACTGCCTATTTGTTAAATAGCACTGCTATGATAGTGTCAATTCCTTGTTGTTGTCATGGAGGGTGTTGGTAATCGAATGGAAACATGCGGGTTGTAAGCTACATGTACAAACTGCTATGGGTTGCGACGGACATCAGAGCCGATTAACCTCTAATGTCTTTGTCTGGTTACAGTTATGCTGTGTCAAGTGCCATAAGCTGTAATTTACTATGTAGTATATACTAGTATATAGTGTATGCATACAAGGTGGTCAGAATGTGCGTGGATCTCTCTCTCTCTCTCTCTCTCTCTCTCTCTCTCTCTCTCTCTCTCTCTCTCTCTCTCTCTCTCTCTCTCTCTCT